CTAATTCTAATTCTAATTCTAATTCTAATTCTAATTCTAATTCTAATTCTAATTCTAATTCTAATTCTAATTCTAATTCTAATAATTCTCATCTAGTTTTAATAAATAACTTCATTAATACTGAATCTGACTTCCTATTATCCAGGTAATATTCAGAGAAGTCAATAATATTTATGATGCAGTTGAAATTGTTAAATTGTGACTGAATAAACTTCATAGACTTTTGTTTGGCATATCTGTTTTTCTGAAATGTTAAATTTAAATATGTTTATATATATACATATATTTAATTATTTTCAAGAGGAATAGCCTCATATAAAGTTAATTTGGAATTTATTTTGTGAATTATTGTTATTATATTTACTTTATTCTAATAAAATTATATGAGCCTTTATTAAAAAAAGAGAGAAGAGAACTATCCAAGTTGGTAAGAGAAAGTAAGAGTAAATAAATTAACATTGAATGTAATTTCTTTATTAGATAAAATTAAAAATTTTTCTATAGGATGAAGGAATCTAAGTTTCCTACGATATGTTAAGGTAAATACTTGTCTATATACAAATATATGAATAAACCTACAATTTACTTATCATTCATTCATTCATTCATTCATCTCACATAACACAACAATAATGCAGGCCTGATTATGATTTAGATGGTGAAGGATATGAAATACCTGTAAATTGGGAAAGAAAGTATTTTGGAATTCATGATCTAATACCAAAAATTAGAAATGCCTTGCACTAACCAATATTCCTATTACTATATAAATTTATTTTGGGGTGATAATAGACTGGATTATTCAAAAAATACATTTTCAAAAGTGCATCAACACTCCTCATTAACCAATTGGTAGGGAGCATGATGTATATGATAGTGATATCATATTGAATCATATTTGAATCATATTGAGAAACCAGATCCAGTTACTTCTTCTGTTAATCAGGAATTAATCAATTTTTTTCAAAAATGACATCATTGTCATCACCCTCTTCATATCCATTTAAAGATTTTGGATAACAATGATGATGTTGATAATATGAAAAAATTCACTTTTAAAATCTGTTACTTGTGAGAATGATAATGACAGCAATAATGACAGATGTAATTTTGATGCATAATAATGATGATGGTAGAGATATGTATAAATTATTATCTGAATTTCAATTAATTAAAAGTGAAGCTGTTGAATTTGAAAAAAGAATTAAGATTTTTTGACAAGATATTTGGTTATTCGAGATTGATCAAATAATGAATTACATTAATAAATTTTTAATAAAAACCTTTAATTTTTATTATAGTTATTGTGTAAATTGCTTACAGTTTGTTTGATAATCATCAAAATCTTTTTTTGCTTGAATCCAAGATTTTAAAATTGAAAATTTATCATAATTGTTTTTGTTATTGTTATTCGTGATATTAGCAATGATTGAATTCCTAGAATCACCAACTAAATTGAATTGATTTAACCAATAATTTTCAAATACACCTACACTTTTTTTAATTTCTTTAACATCAACAACAATAGAGTCAATATGTTTTAGATCTTCTTTTAATAATAAAGCCTTTTCTTGTTTTTTATCACGTTTTTCATTAAGAGTAGCTCCTAGAACCACACCCATCACAACTGTAGTAATCCATATTATTCCACAATCAAAAGGTGAAATGTATATATATATCGGGATGGCAGTAACTGTTCCTAACCCTAGGCCTTTTAAAAAACCGGATTTAATTCCGCGATATTGACTTTCTTTAATCTTTCGTGCTAATTTCTTTTCTTCCTCAATAATTCCAGTTTTCCTTTCTTGTAAAAGACGTTGGATTGTATTTAAATTCTTGGTAATATCAGCATACTCACTTTTCATCTGGTCACATTTCATCATAACCTCACTCAACATGAGTTCTGAATCAACCCAAATTCTGATATCATCATTATTTTTATTTTTAGCACTATTAATTAATAAATCTTCAGTTTTAGATTCATTCAATTTATTAATAATAAAATACATTGTGTTTGATAAATTTGCTGAAGTTCCAATGCTTGAAATGGTTAATTTCTTAAATAATTGACCTTGTAATGATATATCACTAACTAATTTAGTAACAATTACATCTCTAATTATTGAAGAAGGATAATATGAAAATTTATTGTTTAATATGTCAATTTGACTTTTGGTTAAATATATTGTATTACTATTATCATAATAATTACTAAATGTCGTTCGTAATGTTGATAAAAATTCATACATTTTTTTTTTTTAATTGAAAAAGAATTCAATGATGAATGACACATCTCTTGCTTGTGATACAAACCATTTAGTAAATTTACCCTGAATATCTTGCAAATAATTCCCTTTTTTTTTTTTAAAAAAAAAAAATAACATGATTTTTACCATGAAAATAAATGCTTGAAGATTTTACTTACAATACACGACAAAACATTTTGGCAATAAAAGGTAAGTGATAAACTGGATTTGAATTGGATCTGAACTTGATCTTCAATTTATAGAGAGAGAGGTAACCAACTATAGCAATGGGTTCTGTATAACATTCCGTGTAACAACAAACTTCCAATATGCAGAATTTTGCCTCATTAAATTCTCTAGACGGAAAATTCAATTGTGTAAAAAAAGAAAATATTCAAGTCTATATTTTCTTCTCTATCCTCAAACTTTATTTATTGTAATCTATCATCACTAGATCTCCAACGTCAAAAACCTCATCAACAAAGTCCCCCGTCTCTTTCGTATGGATTAAAATAAGCGATTTGTAAAAATAATTGGTGATGTGATTGATCGCAAGTATGGAATTAAGGATATTGTGATAGTCTATTCCTATACTGACGTGTATAATGCGGATGTGAACAATAATGTGTTAGTACAGATGAAGTATTTATCCAGCAATAAACACACTTTGCGTCTACATAAGCTGGCAAAAAATTATGGATCACTATGAGCAGGAAAAAAAGAGAACCGAATAGATTTTTATTGTTAATTTATTAATTGTTTCTGTATTAGTATTAAACCATTCCTCTTTCAATAAATTAAATGATTCAGCCTTATTTCTTGATTTATGATTTTTGATTTTTTAAATCCTGCCAAAATTTTTAGATAGGGGCGGAACTTACAATACGATTTTCTTTTTTACACTTATTAGCTGCTGCTTTATGACATGATGCATTATTTTCTTGAAAATATATACACAATCACCGCCGCCGCCTTCTTCTCTTAAATTCATTAATAAAATGTTGCAAATTTTCTGCATGATATTATTTACAGTTTATTTTTTAAAGATTTAATTCGTGTGTGTATTTTGTATGACATCTCAACGATTAATTAACCAACTTTTGTAAAATCTGCAACTAGATTTAAAACATAGAACACGTGCGAATCACCAATTGCTATCTATTTGGCATGTTTTTTCAACTAAAAAACTTGTCTGTTTTGGTTCAAAACACCAGGGTAGAGAGAAACAGATACTTGTAGCGGCTAAAAAAAATTTCTCTTGACATTCATTTTTACGTCTGGAATTTTAGTGCAGAATTCAAAGGCATATAAATTTAGTTGAGATGGGTCCAACTACATTTACTCAAAAAGCAAAATACAATACATCATAGCAGGATAAAAGTCATAGAGTTTCTCTTCGTAATACAAGTCCTTATTTTAATTCGAATTATTTTTATTCGAATTATTCGTTCTATTCTTTTTATTCAAATTATTCGAATAAAACTTTCAAATTTAATTCAAATACCCAAATTCATAACGAATAAAACAAATGATTTGAACCATTAAAGGCGAGATATTATGATAACAATAGTAAATAATAATAATAATAATAATAACGATAGTAATAATAATAATAATACCGGCAAGCTTAGTACCATCTGAAAAGGTTTTTCATCAATTGAGGTTTATTAAGTTCTTAGCCGGCTAAGCCATTTAATGTTTTTTTACGCATAAATCTGGGTCTCTAACAATAAGGTTTGGAAAAAGGGTCCAAAAAATCAAATCAGCTGATAATAAATTTTTATTTTATACTGTATTCGTTTGCTAAATAATAATAGTATTATTATTCAAATATTCAATCATTAATAATAATAATAATAATAATAATAATAATAATAATAATAATAATAATAATAATAATAATAATAATAGTTTTAAAAATTCCCATGATATTGATTTTTCATTTGCCAAAATTCATATATAGATTTATAATAATAGTAAAATGATAAGTTTTTTTAATTTAAATAATAATATGTTAAAAAAAAAACGGGACTTTTCCAGGACTTAAATCTGGTCCGGTTCCAAGATATGCCTGCCAGTCACAGGACTGTCCTGAACTGTTTAGGATCGATTAACATCTCTAGTTGTTATTGCGGAAATTTTGTGAAAATTTAGATATGGATATGGATATGGATATATGATTAAGCTGTTTTTATTAAACAACGATATCATTTTTGAATTTTTGCTAAATACTGTAAATAAATAAATATACTGTTAGTGACAAAGTCAACCAGACAATAATCCTTTCTAAAAGAAACTGGGTTAAAATTACCGTTAATGTTATCTATTTGCTACCCTTCACACACAATTTCATCCAACATATCTTGATTTTTCAATTTTATTGATTCTTTCATTTCGGCCATTGATTCTTTCATTTCGGCCATTGATTCTTTCATTTCGGCCATTGATTTATTCATTTCCCTGATTATTTCCTTTTGGGTTTCATCCTTTTGACTTTCATCTATTATTTTACGCAGATAATTAGACATTGACATTTTCATCCCCTCGGCTATTTGATTGTCATCCTCCTTTGGCCTATTATCCATCAATTTGCGCAGGTTACATTGAGTGATTGTTGTCGAAGTAGCCAGAAAGTCATCAGGTGCTGGTTTCTCCTCTGTAAAGAAGGACACATTTCTTGTTAAAGAGAGAACCAGTATAAACACGCATGCTTTGACAAAGTAAAAATCAATTGGCCATTTTAACACAACAAATAATGTTTGCAGAATATTTGGGAGATAAAACCATCCAGGAAGAAAAAATCTACCGAAAATATTACGCTGCTTTAAACAATCGCTAAGACAAGATAGTATAAAATAAATGATTGGCGTAACCAACAATATCCCAAATAATGCAAGGAATACTATGCTAATTGGATCGAAAAGGCGTCTAGTTTTAATAACAACAACCCAGAATGTTGGAATGATTATGGCTGGGAAAAATATCAAGAATAAACCGATAAAATTAAAAAAATCAGTTTCGGAATCACGAACTTTTTTACACTTAATTATCGCTCCTGCTGCGCAAATTACATGTAAACCCATGTTTACAATTGAAAACATCTTTATATTCGGAAAATCATCATAGGCAAAAGAAACTATCAACGGAATCGCCCAAGTGACTATGTTGTATAATATGTCATCCAATAATGGCAACAGCACATTTTTGATGCGTCCAGTTTTCCCTGAAACATTGAACAGAATGACAAAAAAAACTGGAAAAAATGTGATAAGGATTGCATCATACACTTCCCCTTCAGATCTATAATTTTCGTTGACAAAAGATGCAGTCACAGTTGGAAGGAATGAAAATAAAACGATTTTCCCCAAGGTAGCCTTCAAGAAACTTGATTTCATTTGCTTTCTTTGGTTAAATAGAGATCCTTTGTTCATATCGAATAATAGGATAAAGTTTCTCTCGTTGAACTTATTTTATTGATATTTATAGAAAATGAATTTGTAATTTGACCAATCATTAAGTATATTAGTATATTAATATGGATACGATAACTCCGAAATCAGTGAATTATTGTTTATTCCAAAAAGAACCATTCATTCATTGTGAAAAAGGTTAATCATTACATGTACACTTTCCGGTTTTGTATATATGAAATTCAGGATTCTAATCAAAATAAGTGATTTTGGAAATATATATGAATTTTATTTATCCTGGTTGAGTAACCATAAACATTAAAATTATTCACACGAATATAATTATCATTATCCCTTTTTGGCGAACGGATTTACATACAATAAAAAACAAAAAACTAAGAATTGCATGTGCTTAATCATAGAAACGATACTTTACCTCTCTCCTCATTTTGTTTGAAGAATATTCGAAATTCCATATTAACAAAAGTCATCTGACACATTTCGAATATTCTTAATATTCTTGATTCTTTTTTGGATATTTGAATATTAATATTTATTAAATTCGGCATCAAATTTCTTGTTCTTTGCTCTCCTTCCAGTTCCATTTCTGAACTTGTTGCTGATGTGGTCATTGAAGATTCTTTAAATATATTAATATATCCTAAATATTAATATCATTAATTATTAATAACTATTATTTAGGAAATTGTTATTCGTTCCACGTGACTAAGGCAAAAGACGAACTAATAAAATCATGCGATTTATTTGGCTAAGCCATTCATCATTGGTCACATTACTACACTTAGTCACGTGGGATGCGAATAACAATTCCCATTATTTATTATTGGTATTAGGGTTTTGTATTTTAAAAAAAAAATTTCCCTTAAATAATTATTTTGCCAATAAATCGTGCGGCGTGAATTTGTGAAATAAGTTAAATAAGTTAGTTTCAACTAAATAAAACGTTTTCTTAAATCACTAAACCAAAATTATTTGGTAATAAAGCTGATTCGTTAGTAATATCCAATTCATTCTGATACACATAATAATAAATTTATATTGTTAACATGCTCTCCCAAATAATAATTGGTGACAACTTGGTGCGAGTTGTGTGGAATTATAGAAGTGATTCAATAAAAACAAAACAAAACGGAAACCAAAATTATAATCTACGGATATTTTTATTATTATTTCTTTCTTATATTTCTTATATTTCCTTTATCTCATTTTCATATTTCTTATTCACTTCTTTATTTTATTTCTACTTTTTTACTTTATACCCTATGAGGTTAATTCGGGGGGGGGGGGTTTTGAAATTGTAAATGCAATTAAAAGAATTTAATTCAGAACATATTAAATCAGAAATTTTCGTACAAGTCTATCACCAAATTCTCACGGGGAATATCAAGGACATTCAATTAATCAACTTGGTATATACATATTTTGCTGAAAATCCTAATCAATTATTCAAACTACATTATCAACAGGAAGAACAAACTAAAAACCCACATCAAAATAAAACTTGCTATTCGTGTGGAACAAAGGGACATTTGAAAAGAAGTTGCAACCTTAAGGGATTAACTGAAGAAGAAGGGATTGAGTTTATCTTTTAAAAACAAGGACCAGTAGAAGGAAGCAGTAAAAAATTAGTTAAAAAAAGAAATTACTTTCCTGGAAGAAGTTTTATTTGAAGATATACCAGATGATCTACTATACAAAGAAGATCCTTACAAGGATTAGGTGAATGAACTTTGACCAAGAGAACACGACCAGATTCATCAGAGATATCAGTACATAAGTGATATATCACACATTCGTCAAGACTTATCTTGTTCAAATTGTTACCCTCTTGAATGGGACTTCTCACCACAATTCTTGATCTTTTGAGATTGGGTAATTTAAAGATGATGGATTTGATGATGTTGTTTCTAGGTTTAGAGTAGGACTACAAATATAACAATCATGATTGTTGTGCTCTTTTAATTCTGAATCAATAGCACAAGTGAAATAAGTGAGTTGATCTGATAAATAAAGGAAATTCTTCAACTAATTAGTCAAAAACAGATTTATTTGGCTAATTATTTGATTTTCCTGCAAAAATAATCCAGAAACCTGTCCTTTAAAGCTGTATTGATTCCAAAGAAAGGTTCATCAAAGTCTTCTATGCCATTAATGAATTGAATAGAATTGGTGCAACACAAATGTGTCCAGAGTCACATTGCCATATTTTTCTGTTTAATAATATTTTCAAGGAAAACAAATTATTATCAAATTGAAGCTGACTACCATCTGACATTTCAATGAATATAAATTTTATTTTTAATCAATTATAACAAAAAAATTTCATCAGGTATCATTAATCATGACATCATCAATGACATATTTTTGACACCTAATTGTCCATTTATCATTCTATTTTATTTTATTTTATTTTATTGGACAAAATCATGTAAAAAGTCATATAAATATGCTTGAAATCTCCTTCAGTGAAAAAAAAATTAAAAAATAATTGATCTTTCAATAATAACACTTTGGTAATAAAAATAATACTTTTATTAATTAATAAATCTGGCATGATTGATTGATTCATAACCCTTTCTGATGATTAATGGTTTGGCCAACATTTAATTATTAGTTAGGGACCCTTTTATTAGTTTTACTATATTGCTTGTAGGGACACCTTAAGTAGTGTAGTTGTATGTTGTATATGGTGATTTTAGCTTAGTTTGAACATTATTAGCTGTGTACCAGATTTGGTGACTCTTCAATAGAGTTTCTATTCATATATAATACAAATTTTTGTTCGAATTATTCAAATCATTTTGTTTATTCGAATTGTTATTTGACGATCTGCGAATAAATCGGAGAGTCTATCAGCAGAGAAAAATTGACACAAAAATGTACCTTTGCATGAAAAATTGTACTATACTTTTGTTCCACTACATAAATTTTTTTTATTAGCATGCAGATAAAACATAACTCAGAAAACATATTAATATATTTTATTTTATCTTTACTTAAGCAAAGAAAAAAGTTTACTCTTTAGCACTCGTGGATTGTTGGAAATTTTAACATATATAAAAGAAGAAAAGGTTTCTGTGTTACAGTGCCCTACTAAATGTTGTAGATTTTTTATATTTTGTGTAATATTTCCCCTTTTTTTGTATGTTTCCCTAATCTAACGACTTTACCCAATTTTGAAATGTTTGGTTGCACAGGAATTAATTCATTTTTAAAGAATATTCAGTTCAGTTCAGTTCAGTTCAGTTATGATATGAATCAGCACGAATATTCTAAACGTCCTGTTTCTCAACTTTAGTAAACTGAATTTTTGGGGAAGGATGAGATCAAAATCAAAGAGTAAAACTTTGTGATGAGTCGTTTTTTTCTTTGCTGCACTGGCTTGCAAATTGATTTGAAATTTTGAAATATTTTCATTTTCCAAAAATGATAAACGGCTATGGTTATTTTACGTCATAGTACTGTGTGAATCCCAATTGTTATCTGTTTGTCATGATTTGTGAAACTGAAAAACTTATCTGTTTTGGTTCAAAACGTTAGGGTTGAGCGAAACAGATATTTGACTGAAAGGAAATCATGTTTCGCTTTAGATGTTTTTTTGCGTGGTGTCAACCGCTGTCTACCGTTAGGTCTTCGTCTTGCTCCGACGTTTTGGACCGTTCAAAATGACCAAAAATTGATGGTCTTGTCTTGGAACTTTTACCTCAGATCGTCAAAGGCTTGTTGCACAACGTGTTAGTGATATTTTCTGGTCACGAGACCGGGGTTCAAAAACGTTTTATTTCGTTGTCAATTTAAAAAAAAATGATCGATAAACAAAATAATATGTGCAAATTTTTTTTGATTGTTCGTGTTGAATTAAAATTTTTTTTTGGATTTTGACCATTTGAGAGAGATAGGTAGTGGGTGATCCAGATAAGAAAAAACTTTGATTTTGACCATTTGAAGAATAGTGAATGATCTGATTTCCTTTTGAGAAAACAAATAAAATCATTGATTAATGAAAAAATTTCCTTTCGGGAAAAACAAATCAAATACATCGATTGATTAAGAAAAAAAAGCTTAGTTGATTTTTTTTAAAACAATCGAAATTTGTAAATGACTTTTGATGTTTGAATGAAGCTTATTCTTCTATAGCGATGGACAAAAAAAAACATGAGGAAAAGATCAGGATGAAAGATTTTAACAATAGAAATTCGCAAATGGCTTTTGATTCATACGAGGGTTCTTCTTTGCAAAGGATCTTTTTTTCTTTTAATCAAGAAAAAAAAAGCTTAGTTGATTTTTTTTAACGATTGAAATTTATTCTTTTATGGGATAACAAAACCATTTCATTGGATTAAATTTATTCCATAATTTTTATTGTGTAATCTAAAAAAAAATTAAAATTAAACAGAAAAAGTTAACTGTTAAATACAAGACGTATGATGACATACGAAACTTCCAAGGCAAGTTTGTAAAATATATTGATGAACGTTTATCAATTATTGAATAGCTTGTATCGAAATAAGTGTTAAAAGTCAAGATCTATGAATCTGTTTGTAAAATATATTTAATGAGCGCTTCATCAATTATTCAAATAATTATATAGGCGGGGCTTGGTAGAAGTAAGTGTTAAAGCCAAGATCTATTTGCAAATCAAGTTTCCAAAATGAACATTTATTATTATAGGCGGGTTTGATCAAAATAAGTCTTAAAGTCGAGATCTACAAGGCTGTTTGTAAAATATATATTTAATTAACGTTTTATTTTATTATTATCAATTATTCAATAACTATATAAGCGGGCTTGATCGGTCAAGATCTATATAATTAGATTGTTAATAGTTAATAATGGAATTTTATTACATGCAAAAAAAATTTTTTTGAGTTGTAAATTTGGTTTTATTAAATAGATTTTTTCATTCATCGTTCATATTTACAATCATTTCATTGACATTCGTTATATTAAGGTTATTTCGAGAGATATGGTCAAGAGAAGAGTTAGGAAGAGAGTTATTCTTCAACCAAGTCGAAAACCAACACTTTATATACATTTTCGAGTAGTACGATTTAATTTATTAGACTATTTCAAATGGTTCTTATGAAACATTTGTTCGTTAAATGTTTTTTAAATTCGCGATTTTAATTGGTCAATCAATCAATCAACAATTGCCTGGGTTAAATTTTGTGTTACCAGAACGGTCTCCCCGAATCAATTATCTGATGAAAAATTTTCACCCCCGATTAATTAATCATTGAAAATTTTTCAAAACCCCATAATCCTCATTATCTAAAATCTTTCTCAAAAAAACTAAACATAGTCATTTTCCGAATTCATTGAGTTCATAATCACTATTCATCCTCAAAACACAACCGTCTACATCATAACGATATCAATCGGTTTTTTCAAAAATTGTCATTATCCTTGAATCTCTTCTTTCATTGGTCATTTTTGTTATTCTTATCGTTATTCCAAAAAATATCATCAATCATTCTAAAAATCATACTTGATATTAAAATCACAATGATTCTCAAAGGCAATTATCAAATCATAATCTTCATAATATTCATATCTATATCACGTAATTATAAAATGGTTGTCTGTGAACACTTCCTTGAAGTCTTAATTTTCTTGACAGACCTAGTTTTCAGTATTATCATTAGTCAGCAGTCTTTTGTTGTTTGGATCTAGCGGATTTGGTGACATCAACAATATTTATGTTTTCAATTTCTCTTAATCTCTTTTTATCATCAACAGCTTTTGGTTCGTTTAATTCTTCCCCTAACAAACTGACCCATTCGTCGGTTGTACCTTGCACAAAGTAATCTACCATATCAAACATTTCTTTTGTCTTGACAATGTCAGTTAGATTGACCACAATTATTTTACCGCCTTTTTTATGAATATTCACAGCAAATTGTCTAATTAGATCCTTTATACCAGGTATTTGTAATGATGTACCCATAATTATCATACAATCTGCTTTATTCGAATCTTTTGCTGCAACTTTTCCAATCCGAAGTTCTTGTGAGTGATTATCTCCATATAAAACAATATTAGGTTTGAGAATTCCAATTTGTGCGACCTCTTACCAGCATTTCTTCTTTTCTGTTCTATTATCAAAAAACATATTAATGGATAATTAAAAGAATCAGAAATATTTTACACAAATTTTAATATGATATTTACCACTTTGTTCGCATCGTGGACAAGATGGAGATTCGCCTTCTTTAAATCTTTCACAGTGAGATTTACTAAACTCATATATCTCGGAACATGCAGAACATTTGAGAAATTTCATGGTTCCATGTAGCTGGGTGGCCTTAATTGTACAGTTCGATGGTTTGATTATGATTGAATCAGTGGCCAGTCCAGCTACTTCTTCTAGATTGTCTATGTTCTGTGTGTACACTCTTACCAATTTCTTCTTGTCGTCTAGCTTTTTTTAAGAAATGGTGAGTGGGAGTTGGTCTGGCATTTTTGATACATTCCTTCAAAATTCCCATAAACATATTAAAGGCTCCTATTGATTTATGGTCCTTCAACATAGTAATATCAAACAGATCCTTTCCAGATCGGAAGGAACCTGGAAACCTTTGTTTAATCATATCATATATTCCACCAGCGGACCTAAAGTCCTAAATTTAAGAAAAAATACATAGAAGAAATGTATATATATTTATATATACACACACACACACATATTATTTAATTGCATAATGGTAATGATAATAGAATAATAAGAGTAGGTTGAATATTAATTAATTATAACAACAATAATAATAATAACAAAAATATATGTATTAGTAAATATATATTCATAAAAAGCACTTTAAAACAACGAATTTGTTGAATTTAATAATAATACTTCCCGGAATTCCACCAGAACATGATATTCCTGCGCCCGTAATTACTACGCATTTTTTAGATTGTTTTATAGTATTAAATGTTTCAAGAAGATGATTGTTGGTTTCTTGGAGGTTGATTTTAATTACCATTTTGAATTTACTATTTTTTCTTAATTAAAAAAAATTTTGAGTATATAGAGGAAAGTTAAGGAGAATTATTATCAACGTGTTCATATTAACATTGGGATTGTAGCATAAACACGTAAAAAACATTGGTGTAACTAACTTTTCAATATCATGTCAAAAAATATCTGTTAAAAAAAATAAATAATCAGTAATAACATTTATGTAAATTATTTGATGAATTACTTTCTAAAATACGATCGATTTCTTTGGAGAAAGATTTTTTTTTTTTTCTCTTTACCTCGAAGAAGCTTATGTAACAAATTTTTTTGTTGTAGCGTCAGTAACAGGGTTTTTTTTTGAACAAAATCAATATTCATGGCAACTTCTATAGTTTCTTCAGGAAAAGACCCATCACCTGGTTCTGTAGGCAAGCTAGAAGCCACAATTGGTACTTTGCGCTACTAATTGCTTGTTTTCCGCAAATGATTCTAATATAGACGCAAGCTTTCTCTTTTTATGTTCATGTTCATTAATGGGATCATTCAATTGCCGATCTTTTAGACAGGGTTAGAGGTTACAACACATTACTAACAATAAGTTTCGCTGATAATTCTTTGGTTAAAACATTTGACAACGGACGATAATGACGATAAAAGAAGTTATAGATGACCTATTGACATTAGAAGTGCAATGACGTTTTTAATAGTGGTATCATTGGTATCTTTAACTAACCGTCCATATAATAATCATCAGGTTGTGAATTGAGCAGCCTTTTAAAAAATTGATAATATTTTTTTTTTTTTAAGAATTAATGGTTTTCATGCAATATCTACTGATCAACATATTATAAACTGAACACACATTTTTCATAAAAATGAAATTTATTTTAAATTTGGGTAAAAAATTTCATTTGGAAAGGAAAGATTATTTTTATCATATAAAATCATCTTTTGAAAGTCGACTATTTTCATCATCAACGTTTACTACTAATTCAAAACAAGCAGTAGTATGGGATAGATTGATTAGGTACATGTGAATATATAAGCACAATTGATGAATGATTGAGTTAATGTTTTTTTTTTTATAAAAGATTTGTAGCTGAAGATCAAGAAATTTATTTTGGACAACCAATTAACCCTTCATCATCATCTGAAGGTAGTGGAGTAATTGGTAAAGACGAACAAGCAAGTAATGAATTAAAAGCTAATGTAATCGATGGTGATGTATTTGATGAGACTGCTAAAATTACTGATAAAGTGATGACTGTAAAAAAAGTATTAAAAAAAATCTTTTTAAATTTTTATCATCATTTTTGAATTTTAAAAAGTTCAAATTTCAATTTTAATATTTTTCAAAAAATAATATATTTTAGATATTAACACCATTATCACCAGCGCAAATTCCTATAATAAGATGTGTAGGATTAAACTATAAAGCACATGCACATGAGACATCACAACCATTACCAAAATATCCAATTTTATTTATAAAACCTTCTACCAGTTTACAAAATCCTAATGATAAAATTTTAGTTCCATCATTAGCAAACAATAATCAAACAGATTATGAAGCAGAATTAGCGGTTGTGTTGAATAAAGATTGTAAAAATGTTGATGCAGAAAATGCATTAAATTATGTGTTGGGTTATACTTGTGCTAATGATGTCTCGGCTAGAAAATGGCAAGGAAAAACACTTGGATCTGGTCAATGGTGTTTTTCTAAAGTATTTTTAGTTTTTTCTGCTAATATGAAGATGAAGAGTGGTGGTGGTAGTGGGGTGGTGGTGGTGATTGTAAAAGTAATTGATGTAATCTTTATTATTGTTGCTATTATTTTATATTATGTTTTTCTCTAGGGATTTGATACATTTTGTCCAATTGGACCAGTATTAGTATCACCAAAGTTGATCAAGAATCCGAATTCACTTGGTATACGTACAATAATTAATGGAAAAGTTTTACAAAATTCTAACACAAAAGATAAGTATCAAAGAATGTGTATTTAGCAAAATACTTTGTTTTTTATATATTCAATCATTAATTAATCATTTCTTTGGGAATTAATTAAAATGTTATTACATATGATATTTGATGTGCCAAGATTAATTAGTTTTTTAAGTAAAGGAACTACTTTACAAAAGGGTAGTGTGATATTAACAGGTACACCTGAAGGTATGGATATATTTATATTTGGAGTGTTTTAAGTTTTGATTAAAAAAGAGGGAAAGAATTATTATTAAACTTTATTTCAAAAAAATTAAATATGTATAAAGGAGTTGGATTTACAAGGAATCCTCCAATATTTCTTCAACATAATGACACTGTCGTCATAGAAATTGATAAAATTGGATCATTGACAAATACAGTTGAATATGAAAATTAAATTGTTAATGATGTGTTTGTTAGATTTTCTGCAATTAAGTATTTATAATAAATAGAATTACAACTATTTATATATATGTTGGTTGTATGTGTATATAAATGTATAAATGTATTTAATGCTATCATTATTTTGCTATTTATGATCATAAAAGTATTCTGTTATTTCTTCTAATGATTTGCCAGATGTTTCTGGAACCATAAAATACACAAAGAACCACCCAAATATCAATAACAATGCATAAAGCCAAAATGTGCCTGAGATTGTTATAGTTTCTGTTAATGGCAAGAATGCTATAACTACACATGAATTCATAAACCAATTTGTTGCTAAATTATAAAATTTTTTTAAGGAAATTTTAAATTAACAAATCTTTATAATATTAAACCTTTATAGGAATATTAAAGATATACCTGTAGCAACACCAGATGCTCGGCCTCTAATATTCAAAGGAAAAAGTTCACTTTGTATTAACCATGGTGCATGACCAAGCCCTAGTGCATAACCTAATCAACCATTCAAAAAACTAATTAATAAAGAAGTAATATATATACAAACAAAAATGCAAACTCACCTGTTATAAAAAGCATCAAAGTGAAAAGAGCAAATAAACTTTTAAGTACATTGCCATCAGGACATGAATCATAGAATTCTTCATAATCAGTTTTTGGTGAACAAATTCCGCCTAAATGTTTACTAAATCCACATCTATCATCAATTACACAAGCAGCACATCTTGTTCCATAATCAGTACATGCAACTTGTTTAGGTACAAATCCAATAATGGAAGCAAATCCAACTCCTAGAAGAAATAATCCAATAATAGTTGCTATTATTGTGTACAAAAGTATAGTTCTACGACCTACCCTATCTATAATATATAATGCAACAACTTTACAAAAAAATAAAAAATTATTAATATAATTATTATGATTGGATTTGGTAATAAGATAATCCTTGTAAAAATTAATTACCAGTCATTACAAAATTTGTGATTGATAATAGTATAGAAAATACAATTGCTTCTTTAATGATAGCAAATCCTGCCATTTTTAACATAGTTCCCTAAAATTTTTAAAAAAATGTTAATTTATTGCTAAAATATTAGTTATTTGGAAATCAATATATATGTTACATACACCATAATACATGGCTGTATCAAAGCCTGAAAGTTGCTGAAGTGATTGGAGACCACAAGCAATGATTAGTGGTCTAAGATTTGGATGATCCAATAATTGTTGATAAGATCCAGTTGAATCTTGTTCAATAGTTTTTTGTATAATTTCTATTTCTATTAGATAATTTATAGACTGTTAATAAAATAATTTATTGATATTTAAAAATAATAATCATTATAATAACATATGTTTAACCTTCATCTAGAAAATTTTGTGGAGCTTTGGAGTAAATTTTATGCAGAACATCCATAGCTTCTCCAGGCTTACCAGATTTTACAAGATAACGTGGACTTTCAGGAACAAATGGCATACCTAGATTCACATAATTACATATATTCTCATAAATATATTTATTCTCACAAAAATATTATATAGCACAAAAAATATATTACTTACAAACTAGTTGTATTATAGGAGGGATAATGGATACACCAAACATCCATCTCCAGCCACCATTGGAAACAAATAAAACACCAACCAAGTAAGCAATAACTTGTCCACCAGTAATCAACAAAACATTCATAGTGACAAGACGACCACGATGAAATCTTGGAGATATTTCACTAATATAAATAGGAACTACCATTGAAGCAATTCCAGTTGCTAATCCAACCACAAATCGACCTACAACTAAAAGATAATATGTACCAGCAAAAGTTATGATAAGAGAGCCCACAAGAAATACAATGGCTGCAAGTATAGATGTAATTCTACGTCCAGCAAAATCTGATAAAGAACCTATTTAATATATATGTTTGATGTGATAATTATTACAGCTTATTATTATTATTATTATTATTATTATCATTGTCTTCTTTAAAATAATATTATTATCTCCATCACTATCAATTATTTACCAGCTCCTAATCCACCAAAAAATGCACCAATTGTTGTTGCTAAACAAAAACAAAAATTTGCAAATTAGTTGAAAAAAAACTTTGTTTTCAAATAAAATAATGGATTTTGATTATTTACCTCCAACTACCATTCCTTTTTGAAAAGCTGTCATAGTAAAGTCATGTTCAATTAGCAACATTGCACCACTAATTACACCTGTATCAAATCTAAAAAATGTTTAAAAAAATTTTTTTAAACACAATTAATTCACACATATAATATATAATACCCAAATAAGAATCCACCAATGGCCACAATTAAAGCTGAGGTAACTACAAAAGGGGTGATTTTAGCAGTCTTTTCGAAATTTCTTAGAACAGGCTCATCAAAATGTTGATGAAAATGATTGTTAAGAGAAGTATTATGTGATAAGCTATCATTGTCTACATCATCGTCTGAGGTAGAAACTTTTGGACTTGTTGCTTGAATTTCATTGTTTTCTTCTATTAAAGGTGTATAGGATGCAGAAGATGACTATGTTGACAGTTATATGGTTTCAATTATACATAGCACAATCGATTTTATAATAATATATTGAATACATTAATATTAACACAAACACACATACGTCATTGTCATTGATTCCCCTTTCCATTTTTTTCTCTTTATTTCTTTATTAAGTAAAGTTTTTCTTTAAAATTTTTTTTTATTCAAGGACGCAAAAAAAGCATTCAAACAAATATGTATGCTAGATGGATAGATACTTATGGATCAAAATTATGATCTTTTGGGACTTGAATAAAGCTCTTTTTAAATTTAGCATTCAAACTCGCTTTTAGGAAATATATTAGTCGGACGACATTTCACAGTGACTGATTTTAATATTTGATCGGCATGACACGTTTTCTGTACAACGGACTTTGGCGAATGAATTGAACGTAAACTCATTATTATTATTAAACAATTTTCGTGCCTCTAGGTAAAAACAATCACTTACTTTTGACCTTTAAAACGCGAGCTTTATGCGTTTGTAGCTCTTCCAGTTATGGAGTAATAGCCTCTCAAGAAACCTATGGTTTTTGACTTCGGAAGCTTAATTCTTTTCGGAAATCAGCTCTATTGAGATCGTTTTAGCATGATAAGACAAAGTACATTAAGAGCTTTCAGAAAATATATGGTTTCTTGGGGAAAGGAAGAAATTGAAAGCAAAAAACGGTTTTATAAGTTATTTATTATTATAAAAACTTTTCAACAATTTTTTTTCACATTATTGTTTTCTAACTTTTGTTACATATATTGGATTTAATATTATTATTATTAATTATTATCAATTTAATAAATTGATAAATTAATAATCAATTTTATTATTATAGGTGATAATGATCTTAAATTTAAAGCTTTTGTTTTTATTGTGAATAATTTTAGGATAGTATGAATTAATGACAAAAAACAAGACAATTTCAAACAGATAAAATTATTAAATATTAATACTAGGTAAAATTTATATTAAATGATTAATGGATATTCAACATTAGATATTTTTTTTGTTAATACTTAATTGGTTTACATGTTAAAAAGTAACTAGATATGAAAAAATTGTTTCAAATGATTACCAAAAAATGTGCAATAAAGGGAGAAGGAAAAGGTTTGTGATGTTAACATTGTAATTTATTTATTTTTTTCTTTTCACATTATCATACCAGTAATCTCTAACTTTACTGGATGCCATGAATTATATAATTTAAATAGCTCTTCAGATAATCTTTTTGCTACATCCTTTGGTAAATCTACAGTGTGATCAAATACCTCTTTAAGAATTTCAAGTTCCTCATCTGTTTTTTTATGTCTCTTACTTGTTTGTGAAGAAGGTCTTGTCTCCTCCTGTATTATCTCATTGACTGGTACAACTATTGTCTCTTGACTATGAATTGGTAAATTTTCCCTAATCTCTTCCATTTCTTCGTCTTGTAGTTTAAGATGTTCTTTAACTTTTACAATACCAAGGTTTTTACTTTTCCTGCCAACAGTGGAATGTGATATTGTCTTGTAAACTTCTTGTTTTAAGAGATTATCAAGGCGATTTAAACCTTTTTCATAACATGTGAACATGTTATTAAAGCCATTTTCATTGATTTCTTTTGCATTTTTAAAAAAATTATGTCCTGTAGGATCTTCTATGTCAAAGGCTTTGATTAATTCATTAACAACAGACCACATAGCATCTCTTTGGCTCTTTTTTGGACACTCCTTATTTTTTTTAAATGGTGGTTTCTCCAACAAATTCCAAGACAAGTGGCTCCAAATGCTCATGCTCTGTTTGGACTGACTGAATTTGTAGCATAAGGTTATCAAGATTTGTAGGGTCTCCATTAATATTTTGTTTTGTGAATTTGACACCATAATATTCAAGTGCTTCATCAAAACTGAAGTAATGTCCTTTTCTTGTTAGATTTACTGAACATACACTTTTCAATAATTCTCTCTGTCCAAGATTTCTTTGAGCTGATTCTAGGAAAAACATAACTGATTGTATTATGTGTGTTGTAACAAGGTTTGACTGTAACCTTACTTGGTGATCATATTGCATATGGCACTTGCATAATGCCATATGACATATGCCAAATAGTGTCGTAACCTCAGGTGTTCATATGTTTGCATCCTTAAGTAAAGGAATGTACTTCTCAAGTATGTTGAATTAATAAATCAAGAAAATTGAGAAGGTTGTCAGAAGTTGCATCAAAAAAATGGAAGTTGGTGGTAGTTGTTATATGACATAGATTCCTAATCCTAATTGTAATAATAATTAAAAAATACAAGTTTTTTTATTCTTTGCTATCAAAACCTTTACCAGATATAAATGATTCACTCACTATCTAACAATTTTACTATTTACTTCCACCACCAGCACTGCTTCTACATCTACTACTCCATCTACTATATATTACTTCTATTTTTACCATTAATTAATAATTAAACTCAAATTCTCAACGATATAAAAGTCAGGAATAAGTGAATTATTTTAGAAAGTTTCACGAAATCTTTTTAGTGATTAATTGTGGCAAAACCCGACCGAACAACCAATCATAATCAGTGTCAACCCGAATTCAAAAAAAAAGATCTTTTATTTTTGAAAAAGAATTTTTAAAAAAATAATGGTTTTAGACACTAATGTGTGGGATACTAAGTCGCAGCAATTCCATGGTGGGCAAGATTGGAAATTTTTAGATAATTTTGTAGAAGATTTTTCAGTAACTACTAATGCGTTAGGTACACCAAAAGAAGCTTTGAAAGCATCAAAAGATTCAGTAGGTTACATATATAAATATTTAAATATGTAATTTCCATCATTTTCATTTTCATTTTCATTTTTTCAATTTTCCGCCTTTCTTTACTTTCTTTATTTCTTGTTAGGTTGATACATGTCATCATTATCCACCTGCTAATCAAGAACCTGCAAAAACTTCACTCGCAAAATTTCTTTGGCCTGATGATTATCAAACACATCATGATAGATTATTACTTGGGAATGGTGCAAGTGAATTGATCGATTTAGTTGTAAGACTTGCACCTAAAGGTACTTGGAAACCTGGTCCCTGGGATGTTCAAGTATGTGTGTTATAATATATAAATATGCATGCATATGTGTGTAAATGTGCTTATGAACTATAATTATATCTCATAGTATAAAGAATATCAAAGATCAGCAGAAACCAATGGACGTATAATTCTTGGATCTAATGAGGTTAAACCTGCTACACTTACATGTATTGTAAATCCATGTAATCCTACAGGCGATTATAAAAATGTTGAAGAATTGAAACAATGGATTAAAGAAAATGTCGAGGATGGTGGTGTAGTTATTGTCGGTTGGTAATGCTTTAATTATTATTATTAGTAAAAAAAATTATAATATTACTTAAAACATATACATTTGCAAAATAGATGAATCAATGCAACCTTGGTTATCAGAAAATTTTCGACCAGATTCTCTTACTTCACAACATGAATTTCTTTTAAAATTTTATGAAACCAATAAAGTATCTGTTTATATTATACATTCATGGACTAAATTTTGGTCATGTACAGGATTAAGATTGGGGTCGGTAGTATGTCCTACATCAAAACATTGTGATGACCTCAAAAGAATACAAGTACCATGGAGTGTCAATACACCAGCACTTGCATTCCTAGACAATGTAGTAAAGGATCAAACATATATGAAAAATACATGGGAACTTACACCAAAATGGCGTTTGGAATTAATAGAAAAATTAAAAAAAGTGTCCAATTCTTTAGTGGAAACAGTAAAAAAAAAATCTATTAATAACAACAATAATAAACAAAATAATCATGGTGTTGATGATATTTCATGGAAATTCTATGGCAAGGAATTTTTGTCATGGGTTTGGATTGATATGCGAACAATTGAAATTGCCGAAAGTGCAGTTAATAAAGCCAAATTGTCTGGTGTACCTGTGAGAAGTGGACGACCTGGTTATAATCGACCTACTTTTGTTAGAGTTGCTGTCAGAGAGCCATCTAAAGTAGATATTCTAATTAAAGCTTGGGAACAATTGCATGTCACGAATAACTAAAATAATATTTTTCATTCTAAAAAATTTATTTATTTTATTTATTTATTTATTTATTTATTTATTTATTATTTATTTATTTATTTATTAACATGTTGTTAAAAATGTTCATTGCCAATTTTGTGAGTCTATTTTCCAAGTTATTGACCAAGTAGAAAATTTTTTATCACACAAATTTTCTTGGGTAAGGTTATTTTTTGTGAACTTTGCTGATCAATAAACTTTACTTTTTGACATCAGGAACCTGTAATTATTGAGAACATTGAAACGTTATCACCATATAATATATTTTTCAATTGTAACTTCAGTATATTTGAAAGCCATTGAAATTTTCTCTTCTATTTGGTTAATGTTAATAACATTTGGTAAAGAAAATCAAAGTTTAAACCATATACGAATCTTTAAAAGGATCTTTGATTACAAAAAGGTTCTTAATAAATCATTTTGCCTCTTAGATAATTAATTGTCTATTTTTAGGTAATTTCAATTTCAATTTGAATTATTTAATTTAGATATTTAAAAATATTACAAGTTGAATTCCAATTATTCAATTGTTTGAAAAAAAATATACCTTTTCTTTTTCACTAGAGTGTAAGAGGCTCATTGATATTTGATGTGGCTCTGCCATCATGAAATTATTTATTGCAATCTTACATTTAAATCCAATAGGGATTGCAATTAAATGTGAAGATGGACAAGCCTTTATTTTTTTTGTCATTTGAAGAGCTAGAGCTTGAACTGTTATCTGACATTTGATGTTTATGAATCTTTATTGGCAAATTATTTCAAATGAAACTCGAAAGAAAAGATAATGATGTTGAAAAGATGGATAATTATTATTTAGTCTATATGACTAAAGGAATTAATTGTTGCTTTATTTTAAATTTAAAACAAACTGATATTAATATTAATTCGAATAATAACAATCACTACTCACTCAACATTCATAATTTTTTTTCAAATAATTTTTATATTTATATTGTTGTATATGGTTAACAAGTAGAAAGGTAACTAATGGTTGATTTTGATTGTGTGAAAATATCTGGCTGCCATATAAGTTGCAATATAATGAAGCATTGATGTCTCTATTCCAGACTGGGTTACAAGCAGTGTTGTGACCCGAAACTCTGAGTTTAGGGAAAACCAGAAACAGAAACTAACAGAAATCACCCGAAACTAGTTTAGGTTAGTAGTTTTTGTTTATGTTTAGGTTTAGTTTTAGTTTTAGTTTTCTGCTTAGTGTAAGTTCATTTTCCGAAACGTTTCGGGAAGCCAAAAGAGTTTCTGGTCACAACACTGGTTACAAGTTTTGCAGGACTACCAAGTCTTCTGTCGATCCTATATATATTTTCTAGTGTCATCATTAAAACTCTGAATGAGCCAACTCAAATTTTAATATATATTACTGTTTTATAAAATCACGATTTGCAGACAACTGAAAATAGTCGAATATTTTAACATAAAGTAAAACAATAATTAACTAGAACATTTAATAATTTTATGACAAACTAAAAATTTTTAAATGAGAACAGGGAGAGAGTTTTAAAAATATTTATGCTTCCAATAAAAAATGTTTTTGAATCCATTGGGAAAGTTGCATTTAAATTCGATATACCAAAATACTAATCGTGTTTCGACGAAATTTGACTGTTTAACATTTCACAATGTTTGCTCAGTGGAAAATATTAAGTTATCACATGATGAATGTCATATCAAAAAAAATAAAATAGGTTTTATTTTTGTGATTCCTTGCGTGCTTCATTTTCTTATTTCTGATAATAATAATTGTTACCCAGAATATAAAAAATTAATACATATATTTTCCCCGATTTAAAAAAAAATAATAATAAAAATTTACTCTTTTTTTTGTAAAGCAGATTGCGCTTTTGTGACATTTTTTTGCCAGAAGGCAAAATTGTTTTGTTCGTAATTATTATCTTCGATTGATTTCAACAAAAATTCAAAATTTTTTCCATGTAAGGAATCCAGACTTAATTCTAGTGTTTCAAAATCGGGTGTTAAAGGATCAGTAACCGATTCTTTGTTTATACTGATGGGATAAGTTTTTGGTATAAAATTTTCAAAATCATCCAGAGAATCTAAGAGTGCAGTAACCAAATGTGAATTTTTGATTACAATTGGCAATTCTTCAGAAATGTTAATTTATTTTTTACAAGTGATTCTGATGTAAATTTTCCTTCCTTGTAAGCCTCATAAATGTTTGTGTAAATCGATAAGCTGAAAGTGCTAGATTTCCACTCGAAACATCTAAAATGTATGCATATTTATAATTAATATATAATATTTATTAATTTGAAAAAGAAAGAAAATAATATATATAAATAATATAAACACCATTTACAATAACAACATTTTTATTATTAAGTGATTGTTGATAAGTGAATTATGTCTCCACTAATTTATCAGTTACATAGGATCCAAGATATGTTGATTGATACCATCCAACAGTATTGTGATCTATATTTACATCGTGGAGGCATTTCATCATTTCAATTTGGTATTTAGCATCTTTATCAAAAAGAGATTGTGTATATAACATTTAATGCATTTATTTTAACATTAATGGTTCCTCCTCCTCAAATATATGTATACACACACACACCATCGACTAGTTTATGCTCATCGTCAGTTTTTGCTTCAGGAAATGGAAAACTATTTGTTACTTCCAGTACACGATCAACATCGAGACCAAGAAGCTGCCCAGTTACGGCTTTTGGAAAAAATTCATGACAATGTTTAATGATCTTGAGAACGACTAGTCCATCAAGTTGAACAGACTCTAATGGAGCATTGCCCTCAATATCTAAGGCAGTTCTTACTTTGACTTTCGTAGGTGTGCCTTTTGCAGCAACGGATTTAACTTCCGACATATTATTTATTATTATTATTATTATTATTATTATTATTTACAATTTATTCCTTTGATCAACATTAAGTGAGCGGAAATTGGCCATTAATTTGTGATATAATAGGCGATCTGCAACATATATTAAAATTTTCTTTTTCCTCAAAAAATTCAAGTCACTTAATATTAATTTAATCCTTTGAATGAATTTGAAATAAGTGGACCACCAAATTTATTGAATTTTAATGCCAATTTAAAAGTGTAACATTATAAGTTATAAAATTCACACTGTTTTTTGATATTACTTCTAAATATCTAATTATATGCAGAATAATAATATAACAAATTTCGGCATTAAAACAGCATAGTGAACTTTCGATTTTAACACTAAATGTGACATAAAGTGACGATCATATTTGTATTGTGCAACTAACAAAATTAATTGAAAAATCACTTTAAAATACTCATCAATGTAACATAAAAATTACACAACAAATATGCGTGAAACTTTGCATAAACATTCTTTGGGTGCTTTATATACTGAAAGTTCTTTCCCATCAAGTCCAT